AAAAAAAGAAAATAAACAGCACTTAGATTATAGGAAAATAAGAAAGAAGTTTTGAATAGTCTTTACTAATAGAAACAATAAATTTTAGGCAACTGCTTTTGCTATCAGTGAAATTACATAGGATGCAATAAAACAAAAGATGAAATAATAAGACTGGAGTATGGGGGAAGGTTGCTGGGTAGGATACAGACAGAAATAAAAGGGAAGCAATAGGAGGTAAACAGTTGGGGGGGAAACGAATTACACAGGAAAAAATTTCACATCTACATCAAAATCAGTAAAGAACAAAATAATCAAATATAGGCTTTGAATCATCAACATAGAGAACAAATGATAAAAGCTCTCCTAAAATGCAAAAGAAAAGGGAATGTGATAAGGTTGACACAAATCAGAAGACATGGAGGACAGAAATTAGAGAAAAGCATATGAATGTTCTTTATTTCTAAGTAATCAAATAATATTAGGACATAAGGGGCCAAAAAAATCCTGAACTACAAAAGACTAATTCTGGACATTGATGAAGAGAAAATAGCTCCTAGAATTTCCTGGTAAAATCCTTTAATGTTAAGGGGAGGCAGCACACCCACAAGGTAATTAGTGGGCTGAACTCCAACCTCTTTATCACATTAAGTGGCTAAATACAGTGGAATAATATAAATAGACCTTTGAGAGGAGAAGGTTTTAGCCTTAATATTTCTATTGATAGGCAGGTAATCATTCATATGAAAATGCAACAGAAAGACATTTTTCAGATATGGAAGAATGCTGAAATATCACCCACCTATAATATGAAAATATTAATAGAAATTTAAAAGGCAGTAAAGCAAGTCAATAGCATTCAAAACATTAATGTACACTGTCTAGTTTATATAACAACCAAAAAAGTTTTAAAATGAGTTATTAATCTTACCCTTATTGTAAGTGTAACTGGATCACTGTCTTCTATTGCTTTCCTTGGGTTAAAGTTTGATTTACTATCTATTAGGAATTGTGGTTTCAAAACATATCCAGAACTACCGTTATCCAAAAATTTTCCATTTTGCAGGTCCATAGGCAGACCAGGGGTCTGGAAATTTAAGGCCACTGTGAAACAGAAGTATTTTAACATTGTCAGGAAATAGAGGGTACAGTTAAAGAAACACAGTTAAACAATTTACTGAAATCAAATCGTGGATTATATATTTTCAGATGTTCTAAGAGCAAGCGTCATGAGACAAATGATTTATGATTTTAAACATTTCCCTCCTGCACC